CTTAATTACACCGAACGCCATCTAGTGGTGAATTGCAGTACCAAGTAACAACAACAAGCTTTGATGTCAAAACTTATCATTGCTTTTCTACTCAAGTGAATTAAACTTTGGATTGAGCTTTGCTGTCGATGTTAGATGTCATTTTGCTTTGGGAAATAAAATAATTAGAAACGAAATAGTATATTATAACTAAAAGAAAATATGAATACGAGAATGTCTCCAACATGCGCGGGATGCAACAAAAAAATACCTAAAAGAGAATTTCTTACTTGTTCATACTGCCAAAAAAATTATGACCTTGAATGCGCCAATGTGTCTAGCCAGCGCTTCTACAATACAATGACACTGGAACACAAGCAGAGGTGGAAGTGCCAGGCTTGTTATTGTAAGATGCCGAAAATTGGTAACGAAAATACACCAGTAAGATCTAAAGATTGTAACAATATAGTTGAGGAACAATGTAAATCACCTGAAGTTAACAATATAACCGTCAGAAAATGTTCGGTTGTTCAAAGAAATGACAGTTTATGCAGTGTGAACTCCGAAAATACAACGTTCCTGGGTGACGACACTGTTAATAATATGAGAATTACTAATAGCCCTGAACTAACGCTGCAAAGTGTAAGCGAAGTTATTTCTCAAAAACTCGCAGAAAATAATATAAATGTTATATCGCAGTTACGAAATATTATTCAGGAAGAAGTAAAGCAAGCAATTGAACTGTTAAAAAAAGAATCGAAACAACAAATTAATAATTTAAGCGAACAAAATAGGAACCGAATCTTAGAAATACAAGAAATCAATACTAAAATAGATAATCTGCAAAAAGAAAACTGTTTGTTAAAAAAACAATTGGAAGAATTGGGAACTAAGACTATTTTATGTAAAGAAAATAAGTATCCTGAAAATGATTCTAAAAAAATAGTACTTTACGGATTAGCTGAATATTATATGGAACCTGAAAACTACTTATTGGACCGGATACACGGATTATTTTGGGACCTGATGGGCGTGGATCTGACTGGATATATTGAAGATATATCCAGAATAGGTCGTTACAATAAAAATGGTAACCGGCCTCTAGTAATAGAATTTATAAGTAGAAGAATAGTAAAACAAATAATTGAAAATAGTTACTCTTTGAAACGAAGTGGGCTGTCGGTATCAGAATTTCTAGATAAAACTACCCTATTAAGAAGGAAGGCTATGCGGGAGGAAATGTTCTTGGCTCGTCAGAGAGGGTTACATGCTGTACTACGCAACAACCAACTATATGTAGATGGGAAAATATTTAATTTTAACCAAAATCCTAACGCAGAGACTCTTATCAACACATCTATGAATAAGGAAAATCAAGGAAAATTAACTGAGTCAACCCCGAATCCCCGTAAAAGCTTTGATAATAATTATTCCTTTCGAAAACAAAGATTTAATTAGAATACTTTACCAAAACATGCAGAGTATATACAATAAACAAGATATATTAGAAGCTTTTCTAGATAGTAATCCTGAATATAATATCCTTTGTTTATCAGAGACATGGTTGACAGTTGAAAAGCTCAAATTGCTCTCTTTCACCGAATATATGATTGCATCGTCATTTTGTAGCAAAAAACACACAGGAGGTGGCCTCTGCATATTGCTACAAAATCATTTAAAGTATAAGGAGATAATAGATATTAAGAACATGTCGATTGAATACGTGTTAGAAGTAACAGCGGTTGAGCTTTGTAAAGAAAATACTTTGATTGTGTTATTGTATTGGAATGGAAGAGAGGAGAGTATTTTTTATGTACAGTTAAAACTTATTTTGAATTTTATTAATAATAAATTTACTAAATATAAAATTATTTTGGGTGGAGATTTTAATATAAATGTACTACAAAAGAACAAAAAAACATCAGATTTTCTTGATTTAATGTTAGAGTATAAATTAATCCAGCATATAAACAAACCTACTCGCAAAAACTCATGTTTAGACCATATTTTTACTAACTTTAATAATGAATATTTGTATACGGGTGTTGAGGAGCATGGTTTTTCAGATCATGCAGGAACAACCATCCATATAAAAAGACAAACACAAATAAAGCAAACCGAATGGATTTTAGAAAAACGGTTTTTCAAAAAAAAAGAAATAATGGATTTTAAATCCCAGCTTCAATCATTGAGCGCGAATGAAATAATAAATCCTAACAAAAACATTAATGAAAACTACAATATATTTCATGATATTTTAATGAAAATATTAGATAAATGCATACCTAAACGTAAAATTAAATTAAAATCAAATCTAAAAAAATATTGGTTAACTGTAGGATTAAAAAAATCATGTAAAAATAAAAGGTTGCTAAAAATAATTTCTTCAAAATCTAACAATCCCATCTTACAGAATCATTACAGGCAATATGAAAAAATATTAAAAAAAATAATAATATATTCAAAAAGAATGCATTATAAAAATAGAATAAACAGCTCCAATAATAAAGTAAAGACTATGTGGCACATTATTAACGAGAGAACAAATAAAATAAATAGAAAATCGAAATGTAATATAAAATTAAATATAAATAAAGTAATACAATCAGACCCTAAACTAGTTGCAAATTCATTTAATGATTTTTTTGTCTCCATCGGGCAGCCCAACTCACAGCATCAGGGCTGCGATACTGGAGGTGCCGGACCAGCTAACTGCGCGCGCGGCCGCCCTGTAGTCCACCCCACAGAAAACTCAATGTATCTTAGCCCGGTCGACTGCAGCGAGGTCAAAAGAATCATAAAAAACCTAAAAAATAAAAAAAGTTATGGAGTGGATGAGTTACCACCTAGTTTATTTAGAGAGTGCGCCGAAGAATTGGCTCTGCCATTTAGTTTGTTAATAAACCAGTTATTCAGTGAGGGCGTTTTTCCCGATTTACTGAAAAATACTTTGGTAAAACCTATTCACAAGAAAAATGAGATAACTAATCCAAGTAATTATAGACCTATTTCAATTTTACCTACAGCATCAAAAATTTTTGAGAAAGCAATGAGTGATAGAGTTATGAATTTTTTTGAAAAATACAAAATATTCGATGATTCACAAAATGGTTTTCGGAAAAATCGTTCCACAATTTTAGCCGTGTATAAATACATACAAGAAGTTGTTACATTGTTAAACAATAAACAATACGGTGTAGGTATACTGTTAGATATGACTAAAGCATATGACAGAGTACAGCACAATATCTTGCTAAATAAATTGTATGGCATGGGCATTCGTGGATCTGCGCACAAATGGTTTGCATCATACTTAAAAGATAGGCGCCAATATGTAGAAATTGAGTACTTTGATGATAGTGGAAACATCACACGCGTACGCTCCGATTGTAAAATTGTAAACGCATCTATACCTCAAGGAAGCGTGGTTGGATGTCTTCTGTTTTTGGCTTGCATAAACGACCTTCCAAAGATTATGGAGGAGCCCTGCATTCTGTTCGCAGACGATATCTCCTTACTTACCTCATGCCACAACAATAACAATAATGATGTTAACAAAAATTTGAATTGCTTACTTAACAAAACTTTAGACTGGTTAAATGATCACAATTTAAAAGTAAATTTTACAAAAACCAAAATAATTACTTTCCATCCACACCAGAAAACTCAATTAAATTTAAATTTTATCTACAACGGTATAAGATTGGATTGTGTGGAAGAGTTCACATTGTTGGGTATAGTGATAGATAGGCACCTCAACTGGAAAGCTCACGTACAAAAAACAAAATCTAAACTGTCTAGCTTTGCTTATGCGCTACGCGAGGTAAAAAGGCGACTGATAGAGAAACAGCTATAGTTACATACTACGCTTACGCCCATGCTTGGCTGTGTTACGGGGTGGTGTTGTGGGGTAACAGTACGGACGCACATTTGCTGCTTACCATGCAAAAGAAGTTAATCCGTATCATAGCCAACATCGAGCAGACGGAGAGCTGTAGACCATTCTTTCAAGAGTACCAGATACTTCCACTACCGTGTTTGTATATTTTGGAAGTGTGCAAGTTTGTGCGCAAACATAGCGAATTCTACACTAGACGACAAGACATTCCATCTAGATACACATCTCGATACAACAATAAATTAATATTGCCTAATTCTAGGCTAAAACTATCATCATCAAGCACATTTAATTCATCAATTAAAATTTATAACAAATTGCCCAATACAATAATGAATGAAAATAATTACTTGACATTTAAAAATAAATTAAAGGAATTTCTAATTAACAAATGTTATTATAATGTAAATGAATATTTTAATGATAAGATCAGTAATTATTAATGTACATGTACAAATAATTTATTTAATTATTTATTATATTTAATTTTGTGACATTATTAATATTATTATTTATAATTAAATCAGATCCAATCCAATTATAACAATCAAAAATAAACAAATGAAACAATCTCTAACATCCAATTTAAATTTTACTATTAGTGTTGTTCTTCTGAGAAGCGTATCCTCTCTTCTAATAACCAATTGCGTGCCCGACGGGGTCCATAATGCTCATATTTATATAAGTACCTACCACCCACTGTACACATTATGCTTGCAATAAATGATTTGAGTTTGAGTTTGAGTTTGAAAAAAAATTGTTGATAATGTTACTAAAAATCATGAAATAAATAAGTATTTTTTAGCTATTGTCACTTGACCCAAATCGTCTAGGATTGGTGGAGCCCGAAATGACGTCACCTGCTTGTAAGCATGCTGACAAAATGAGATAACTTTGTACTGTTTGACGTTTAAAGGAGAGCCGTGTGACATCACCTGCTCGTAAGATGCATATTTGCTAGCGAATGGTTTATGCGTATTTTTGAAAAAAATAATTATTTTCAGTTTTTTTGTTATATGCAATAGAATTATAAATATCCACTTTTCAAATAGCTTATTGTATTACGTCCACAGCGGCAGCCAACTTCTTACTTATAAATATAACGAACTTAAAATAACCTTACCTGTATTCACAAAACCGGTCAGCATTATCTTCCATCTTACACCTGCAGCACCAATGAGGTCCTTCCGGCCCGTCCGAACACAACCGTACAGACCCGAGCCGTGATGTAGTGTTCAGTAACTTCCAAAAAAACGTGTGTTTTGTGTTTGTCACTGTAGGAACTGGTACACTATTTGCTATCCATACTTCTTTAATGCCTACACGACCTTCTTAAACTGAAATTTAATGGAAAACCACAAAGCTATTTTAATGATATCCCAATGAATGTATTGATATCCCAATGAAACTATTGATATCCCAATGAAACAATTATTCTAGTTTTTTTTTAATCTGAGGTCCTTCGTTTATAATACATTTATCTGTGTCATGTAAATGTTTTAATTATATATACATTAATTTGGTAAAAGCAATTGATTTTCCTAAAGTATTCAAGGATATATATTACTCAAAAGCAATGTCCACCTAACCAAATGTAAGAAGCGTTAGATCAAGCTCAATTTTTCATGGATAGTGAATGACTTTATTTTAATGTTTTCCATGGCCAAGTAGATCCATCTTTACAATTATCTATAAAGTAGATTTTACGTTGTAAATGTGTTTGAAAAACCGTGATGCTATATGGCATGAGGTGTGCGATTCCAAGCGTAATTGATTTTCACATAATTACGTAAATGCTTTGCTTCTTTAATTAGGTCATATTCATTATTCCTTCATTAATAATAATATTGACATAAAATAATACCTTAAGAATACCTTCATTAATAATAATATTGACATAAAATAATACTTTAAGAATACCTGCGCGTTATTAGTTGCTTTTAAAAGTTTATAGTTGATGATAAATAATCTGGTGATGTTTGTCAAAACACAATTTGTTATACTTGTCGTTAACATTTTCATAATAGGTATTATTACAGGTAAGCTGTATTATTAGGTACCTACCTACTTATTAATTATAAAAAAAATACGTTCAGTTGAACTTACAGTGACAATAGAAATAACATAAAATTTAGAGCGACAAAGAAAAAAAAAAGATCTCATTTCCTTATACTCGAGAAAAGAAGACTTCGAAGAAAAACCCTTATTCGGTTTTTGAAACGGTTCGTTAGGCCCACTCGTAAGTTGACGACTTAGTATTCCATCCCCGTGGGACTTACGACGTCATGTGGAACTTCCATAGTGCTCGAGAAACATACCAACCGAGCGAATAAGTGGATAAGTTAGTTGTGACGGCACGATTGTCAGCTCGATGAGCCGTTGGATAGCATTCCTATGGCTTATTGCAGCGCTGAGAACATTCTCTTCATTTTGTTTTCTGCTTCATTGTACAGTCATGCATTATTAGCCTGTAGTATATGCACTTTGACATTCAACATAATGTGCTTGAAACTAAAGAAATATATTCCAATGTAACCACAGTTTGGCAAATAAATGATATTATTATTAGTTTCTTAGTGACTAGCGGCAGTTCGCAACTTCAGCGTTATCTTTGAATCCCTCAAAAACCTAACACTGTTCCAGGCTTAGATTAAAACAAAAAGGGTAGATGCGGTACGCTCATACTTGCATCAATCAAAAACTGATCCCACGGCAGCGCGAACGGGACGGAGAGATTCGCGTCACTGCATTAACGACCCGAACGAAACAGCACGTTAAGTTTCAACGGCAGCGCGAACGAGACGGCGAGATCCGCGTCACTGCACTACCGACCAATCACGCGACCAGTACTCGACGTCACTACCGAATAAGATTTAAAACAAATAGCAATTTGTATGAAAAAAATATTTTATAGTACTTACGAATGAAAAGTATTGCCGTGGATTTTATTTTTAGTTCTTGAGGAATTTGAGCACTTTTTAAAAACACACTTAGGCATTGTTTTATCATATAAACAAAAAATATTAGCAATATTTCTTTTTGGCGTTCACATGTACGTCGTTTGCATGTCAAGTTGTGACTAAAGCGATTAGGGTCGTGGACCACAATTCATGCGGATCACTTTTGTGAGGCTAGTGCCGTATCTAGTAGTCCCTTTTTGTTTTAATCTAAGGTTCCAGGATTAAAAGTATCCTTTGTCTTAGTCCAGATCATGAAGTATATGCGTACCAAATTTTATTCAAATCCATTCAATACTTTTAACCTGATTACCAAACTTTTACGGTTATAATATAATACTAGCGGCCCGCCCTTGCTTCGCTTCGGTGTAGAGCTGAAGTGTAGACTACAGTTTTTGTTCTCAGGCTTGTATTATACACAATGACATTCATCTATGATTCTTCTTATACCTGCATGAAAAGTCTCAGCCCGATCGGTTTAAAATTGACAAAGTTTCATACAAACTTTCATTCCCTATTTTATCCCCTTGGGGGTAGAATTGATCAAAATCCTTTCTTAGCCGATGCCTACGTCATAACATCTGCATGCCAAATTTCAGCCCGATCCGTCCAGTGGTTTGGTCTGTGCGTTTTTTAGATCACTATGTCAGTCACCTTTGAGTTTTATATATATAGATTGAATACTTAACTTTTTTGCACATATTAAGTGTTAAGAGAAATGTTTTATTCGATACAGACGTTCTCGACTAATTCCTCCTTGATTTTATCACTTAAGAATTGATTGTCATACATAAAATATAATTTTACTTATTCAATGCTACTATGTCTTCTTTCTTCTTCTTTTTTCGATTATTATTATTATTCTACTAGCTTTTGCCCGCGACATCGTCCGCGTTTTCGTCATTTTTCGTAAAAAAGTAGCATATGTCCTTCCTCAGGGTTCCGTGGTTTTGATGTGACAGACAGATTAACTTTCGTATTTTGGTAGGGAAATATATTAAGTCAATCCACAATACTGTTAAAAATACCGCAATAAGGAACCGCAGAATATTATTATTATCACTGTGCCCCGAGCCCGAGTAACTCCTTGTATGGTATTATGTTAATGTATTGGTAATATTGTTTAGATCGCTTTCACATGAGGCTTAAGTACATATAGAATGAAAATATATCTATCAATTCGACATTACATTATTATTTTTGCATCAATTTGACATACATTTTAAATTGTAAATCAAACAATGATTATTAATGGCACTTTTTTGTATTGATTATTCATTGATTATTAATTATATTGTGCTTTTCTGAATTGAATGTTGTGTGTGCTTGTAAAGGCTTGGATATATGTCTGAGAATAAGTATTATTTTAATTTTTAATGTTTTTATATGATTCGCTGTAAGTAAACCTTTTTAATAAATAAATAAATAAATAAAAATAAAAAAATACTTCAGCGCAAAGCTTCCGGGTAAACTACGTTGAAAGCTTGACCGGTCCGGCACGTGAACATAAAAATTTCTAGGACTGCTAACCCGGGAAAGAGCGACATAACTGGCCATGTGAAAAACAACTGACACCGAGATCTACTCCAGCAACACGAAAAGTCTGCCCTTGAGCCTTATTTATTGTCATTGCATAACACACTGATACTGGGAATTGCGTTCTTTTAAATTGGAATGGAAGATTATTTGGTATTATGGGAATTCTGGGAATAAAGATGGTTTCTCCTGCACCGCAACCTGTTAAAATTTGAGCCCCGATTACATTTTGTTGCAACTGGGTTACTTTTAAGCCGAGTTCCATTGCAAATTTGTGGTGGTCTTAAATTTCGGAGCAGAATAATCGGAATGCCAATTTTTAAACAAATTTCATGAGAAGGAAGTCCGGACATATTTTAAAGAATTTAAAAATTCTATCGGGTAATTAGTGGCTTCTTGTTCATCGGCCATTCTATTTATTGAACTATAAACTTTGCTTTCCCCCTGGATATTCGACAGTATTTTATTATAAATCTCAGATGCCTGGTCATTGCGAGGAGTTAAAATGGACCTTTCGCATAGCCAAGAATTGTCCTTATTTAATATATTTGTTACGTCACCGTAAACTGACGATATAAGATGTTATTGGGATTGCACTATACAACAAAACTCATGCGTCAGAATAAATTTTCCTTGGTGTAGCAGTGGATAGTTATCTTTAGGTATTTTCTTTAATAATATATCAGAAAATTCACGATCATCCGGGTTATCTACAGTTCTCACTCGCATGTTTATAGTCAAATGCACCGATTGTATATCACGCCACAAATAAGAGCTTTTCAGGCAAGCCCTAACCTCATCAGCTCGGGTTCCCCGTGGTATTACCGGTAAGGTTTGTCGAAAATCACCACAAAATAAAACTGTGATACCGCCCATTGGTCGATCATTTTGTCTTATATCCCTTAAAGTTCTGTCTACCGCTTCTACTCCTTTTCGATGGGCCATCGTACATTCATCCCATATGATTAAATTATACTTTGAACGAATATTTAAACACTACCAAAACAACTAATACGTGGTCCTAACTTTAGCTACCTTACACTTAAAATCTAAGTGACTATTTAAACTAAAATATTCTTATAGAATTATAACCAGAAATATATACAACTCACAACAAAAAAGAAATGAAAATAAAGCTGAAACGCCTGTGCAATACTATCTACCTATACCTACTTCACTTAAAAATAAATACTTATAACTACTTTAATTAATAAAAGTACCTACGCTTAATAATTTTTAATTTGAACGAATATTTAAACACTACCAAAACAACTAATACCTATTTTACAAAATAACAACAAAAGAAATTCAAATAAACTATTTAAAGACTAAAAGTCGCGCTGAAAAGCACGGTTTCTCAATATTTCTCAATTATTGTCTGTCAATAAGGTCGAACTCTCTGAACGCATCAACAGCCAAATATTGAAGCTCGCTCGCTGTCTTTTTTTAATTTTTTTTTCTTCCCAAGCGGGGGAGCACGTGAGAAATCCTCATGGATACCCTACAGCCGGCTGCAAGGTTATGTCAGACTCGTACTGACTAAAAAACACCCGTAGGGGCTGCCTCTGGCCGGGAAGGCCTCTAAGGCTTCATCGGAAGCGATCGTCCCCCAGGGGGGGGGGGGGGGGAGCGACGCAGAAAACCGATTTAGACAGCTCGCTCTCGGACCTCCCGCCTTTTGATACCCTACCGCCGCCGCGACCCGTGTCGAGCGCGGCAACCGTTACACAAAAATAAACCTTATAGCATGATTCAGTACTCACGTGCGACGGCGCAAACAAATAAACTATTTAAAGACTAAAAGTCGCGCTGATAAGCACGGTTTCTCAATATTTCTCAATTAT